CGAGATTCTGTCTTGTTGGTGGAAGCTAATAAATGCAATAGAACTGTAACTGTACTGTCTCATGGAGTTCCTTGGGCTGAATCTGACAGTTATCCAGGTCACTCTTTTGGTTTGTTATTTGTATACCCCTTTTAATTATTAAGACATCAGCCAGTTTCATTTGTGTGTCTAGTGTAGCATCTTTTTCCATATCATTCTTGCAAATTGTCAGTTTTAAATCCACTTTCAGATCATTCTCACCCTTGTTCAGTAAAACTTATTCCTCTTCCATAACTTCTTTCCAACACAGTCTATTTATAGAGGCAGATGCTCTTAAAATTAACTTCTTGGTCCATTGTTCAAAAATATCTTTCAATATATCCAATGTTAAAATATTTTACTCCATTCTGTATTAGTAAGCCAAATTTAAGTGTTTTTCTCCTTTAATTGTAATCTTTAGTTCCTTCTGGTTCCCACTAGTATCCAGCCTTCAAAGTTTCATCCTATTTTTTTTTTTTTAAAGAGAATTCAAAAGAAAAGAATTTTCCTATGGGAAAGATTCTTATAATTAATTCCAAAATCTTATTTCAAATCCATCTGGACCCTTAGTCTGTTTCTAACTTTCCAAAATCAAAGTTCTAATCATCCTTTTGCTGCTTATTTCAAAACAATTTTTTGTAGTCCTTAAGCTTGTATTTAAAATTTCTTTCATTACGGATTGAAGGAAACTCACCTGGTGCTGTAAAACTGTTGATCCAAAGGTTCCTAATAGCTGAAAGACAGTTAACAAGCCATTTCTGAAAGTGATTAGAAAAGGAAGTATGTGAACCCAGTGTCCTTTTGAAGGTGCCAACCGTGGATTGAACAAAATGGCTATTCCCTCATCTCCCAGAGCTCTAAACCCACTGGAGACCACTCTCTTGTGGTCTCCTTGCAAGGAGCAACTGTCTGGAACACTTGTGGGTGATCTCAAGCCTTCTCCTTGTCCGGAGAGGAATTACAAAGAGCTAGTCTACTTGCCGGCTCTTCTTTCTGCCACGGTTGTTGGCTCCGCTTTCAGTGGAACCGCCTTCATTTTGCCATTTCTTCCCTGGAAGTCCAAACATTGCTAAATTTTTGAGCAAATATAGCTGTAGCTGATTTAGGGACTTGGCCAAGGGCACTGCAACTATTGCACTAGCACAACAGATAGTGTAATCTGTACTACTTCACTCAGGATTAGGTCTCTCCTATGTGGCAAAGGGTTAGGTGGATTGCATGTTATTGCTGACTTATGCTGTTTGGGTTACTGCAATAATCAGTTGAGCTTTATGTAGACATTTCCTTACTTCTCTTATTTCATGGCATTTGGGCCTCACTGTTTATTGTTTTTTTCCATGACCATTTATATATTGGTCAAAAAAAAGGCAGTTACTCATGAAGCTTATGCCACAATAAATCTATAAATCTAAACAAATGTGGCTATGTTGGAATATATATGTTGAACTACAGAACATAGGGGCCACACAGAGGCTCTGTTCATGCAACTTGCTTAATCTGGTTACCATTAACCATTTCCCAGGTTTGCATAATACATGGAATCTTAAACTAACTGATTTGTACAAATGCTAAGCCAACCCCACCCCCCACCCCCCAAAAAAATCAAACCCAAGTTTAGCATATTGCCCAAATGTATCTGCTAGATCTTTACTACCATATTGCACGAACATAGTCATTTTTACATTAGTCCTTCCAGAAACAGATGTGCCATGGGTATTCAAATATCAGAACATATACTTTTTCATTTGTTGAAAGTTTTCTCCTCCCACAAAAGAACTATTGGATATTCTGCCTCTTTCTTATGGCAATCTAGTATTTCTTATGACTGGAAGCACTAATAATGAAGCTAAAGTTTAAATATTTTGGATATAAAGTGAAGACAAGAGTCATTGGAGAAATCCATGATGCTTGGCGAAATTGAAAGTGGTTGAAAAAGAAGCTGTCAGAAGACAAGACGGCTAGATACTATGAAAGTTACTGACAGCCCTGACAAATGATGTCCATTGGGTCATGAAGCATCAGAAATGGCTGTATGATTGAACACAGCTACTACATTACTGGCTAAAAATACTGTTTTTCCTCCTTTTTTGGGGAGTGGGGGTATTACACTTCTCTCTATTGCTCTACAGCATTCCCATGAAAGTTCAACTTTCATCTTCGAAATGTGGGAAAAGAGGTAGCTGCAAATTGCCAGGGGAAAGAAGGCTATAAACTGGTAAAGACAGTAATGGATATAGTATTTTTGGAACCTGGAGAAGATGGGGTGAAAATGGAACGCATTTCCAGATGTGGAAAATGTGTGCAAATATTTCCAAGGCCAAATGATCATTCACAATATTGATTCCCACCACTGGAGAGTTCTTGGAACCTTACCTCCTGAAACTGTTTTGCATTTACTCTGAATGGCCAATTACAGTATGTGATGGCATTACCAGAAGCGGCAGGTGTAAAATGTTGAGACTATTTGAAGAACATTATAGGATGGGTGTTATTTTAGGGCAAAAATTGGTGTTAGGCTTCAGGGGCTTAACAAACCTGTTACATATTAACCGCTATCTCCCCAAAATAACACATATATGAAAATAACATTAGTGATTTGTCATTGAAATCCAGCTTTGGAATCTGGCAGACTCTGCCAAGGCCAGAACAATGGGCATAGAGGACCTATAAGCAGGTCCCAGGCTGCAGTGTCTCTTCCACCATCCTAAGAACTGCAGTCTTCGGAAATAGGAGTGCTCCATATGGGCCATATCTGTATCATCTGAATGTTACTATATGGAACAGTTCTAGAGCAGTAATCAAGGAAGGTAAACACAAAGAATGTAGAATGGGAATGTTCCAAATATGCAGCGACACATAATTTGAAGTTCCAAACTTGTTGTATGGTGATGTCATCAGGTTGTGGGCTACAACCTTCCACCATCCTAAGAATTTTGGATCATCCCCATTCTTCTTCCTTTGGGTTTACCTTTCTTGACTACTCTTCCTTGAGGCAAAAGTCATTTGACAGTTGGAAGCCATTGGGAATATACACGGGGAAGTCTTTGGAGCCTGTTAAGCACTCCAAATGCGTCTAAGCATCTTCCTTCTCTTGCATGTTCTCCTTTCTCCCCCTGCTGCCTTTGAAGAGAGTAATAATCAAGTCGGGTCCCTGGCAGAACTTGCAGATGAGATTAAAAGCAAATCAAAGAAGAAAAATCATGGCACAGTTTATGTCTCCCTAATTAAAACTCCGCCAGTCTTCCTTTTCTCTCCCCCACCCTCTTTTCCAACTAATGTTACACTAACGAGCTGAGTTTAGTGGCATTTATGTAGATAAAAGTCCTGATGATTGATCTCAATGGCTTGTTAAAATTAGTTTCAGTCCACCATATTGATTTAATTCCATTGCTTGAAAGTGCTAATTAATAATGATAATAAAAGTGTCTGGGCTCATTATTATCAGCAGGCATGTTGGGGACAGGGAAATGCCTCTGCCAGTGGGGACCAGTGTTTTCAATTTTAACCCCTTTCACATTGTCTGGATGTGAAGGATCCAGAAAGGGAATCAAAAGAGCCCCAGAAGTCAACTGGATCTCACTCTCTAAAAGAACCTTCCAGGGTTCTTTGTCTAAAGAAGGAGATTGGAATGGAAACAGCGAGAATGTCAGGGAAAGAGATGGCTGTCTATTGTACTAAGCCATAGTTTTCTTAACTATGGTTTATTAACTAAACCACACATTTATCACAATATTCCAGATCCAGCCAGGCCCCATGTTTCATGTGCAAACAATCCACACAACCCACTAAGCCTCAGACCATAGGTTGATAAATCACAGTGGTGGGCTTCAACCAACACGTTAACCCCAAATCAAAGAAAAACACATTATGACTTAGCGAATTGAGTGAAGTCAGCTCTAGAGAGCAAATTGCATGTCAAATTTTTCCTCTTTAAACTCAGGGCAGAGCAATCATGGTGAAGGGACTGTTTCACTCAATTTCTTTAGAGAAAAGCTAAAGCATCTTTCTGCCCTTGTGCAATCTGATCTCAGTCCAGATGCAATCTTTGGGGAAGTCTCAGGGTCAGATTAAGGCCAACGGATGCCCTAAGTATAGCCCAACAATGGTGCCTCTTGACGGAAATGAAATTCTCATGCCGTGAGATGGAAACAAAAGTGATACCTAACAACACCTTCAAACCAATTTTTAAAACTTCGGTCACTCACCATGCCAAGGAAAACAATTTTTTTAAACAATGCAGATTAAAGTTGAACATGGCAGATAAAGATGATTATCTAAAAATTGACTAAAGCTGAGTGTGGCAGTGAAAGAGTTAAGGGCAAGATAACAATGATTTCCTTTGGTGCCCTAAGCACAGTGCTTGTTTTGATTAATGGTTAATCCAGGGCTGTAGTCTACCAATTGACTTGAACTTTATTTATTTATTTGAAGAACTTCTATAGCTGCCTATCTCATATAATGATTCTAGTCAGCTCACAGCAACTGATAAAAAGAAGAATAAAAACAAAACCACCCTTCCTTCCAGGTGCCAGACCAAAAAACCTCCTGACCCAACCCCTATCCCAGCCCAATGCTTGGGGGAAGAGTCAGGTTTTCATGGCCTTGAATCTCAGGTGAGAGGCTATTCCAAAGGTCTGGGGCAGCCATTGAGAAGGCGAGCCTCCAAGGTCCCATCAGATGGTAACATTTAAGGCAGGGGATCTGGATGTTCAGATGGCTCCAACCCTATTGTAGAGTTATAAAGAAAACATAATAATTATAATTATAATTATACCTGGCTCTTCACCCGTGCTTTGATCCAGAATTGTAGATGAGCCCGGTTTGTGATTTGAGCATTATTATCATTCCTCACAAGTATGTGTTGCTTGTATTTTGCTTTTTGGTTTTTCATGTTAGTTGTATGGGACTTATGTTTTTGTTTGGTTTGGTCTTGGGGTTTGGATTTCCTTTTATTTGTACTGTTTTGTGCTACCCAGAGTCACAAATGGGTGGGGGCTTCTACATTAAAAACAACAACAACAACAAACGACTAAACAAATAAATAAATATTTAATGGGACCGAAGGGGAGAAATTGCATAAATGAAGAGCAATTATGTCAGCTGTATTAAATTAAATTAAATTCAGTTTAAATTGGATTAAATTAATTAGAGTTTTGTCCTGGCCCCAGCTCTCTTCTGGTGTATACCACTTGACAGTCTTCAGCTTGAAAACAAAATATGCATTCTCTGTTCTGAGCCCTCAAACAGGACACTCTTTGCTTACTACCTGGTTCTTATGAGATTACATGTAAAACTATAAGTGCTTCCTTAACTGAGAGTTCAGTATCATGGGATACGAACTTCCTTTGGGCCTAGAAGTGCATTCTTGCACATTTGTTCCTATACCTACGAATGCTTCTTATGCTACACATGAACAACTAGCAGATTACTAAAATGACACCTACTGATTTGGGTGCCCTTCTATTTCTAGGGAAATAAACCCTTTACAGCCCATTATCTATTTCATACTGCTCCCGGAAGAGCAAGAGAACATGAGGCTCTGTAAATGGCAAGGGGAAAAAAAAAATCCCAAGACTAGGTGTTACCTTCTTAGCACAATTATTTAGATAAGGGATGGGGCCTGCAAAGCTAAAGAGGTTTTGCAAACTTACACTGCTCAGTGGCATCTTACAGGTTTATTGAGAGGTGTGACAACAGACCACTAGGACAGCATTTTTCCAGAGCAA